CGTTCGATCCCCGAAGTTAAGCAGCGTCGAGCCCGGTTAGTACTTGGGAGGGAGACCACCTGGGAATACCGGGTGTCGTAGACTTTTTTTGTTAAATTTTATTTTATATTTTATAATGTAATTTTATTTTTAGTTTCATAAATGATAAGTTACAATTAATATTTATAATAAAATTTTAAAACCAGTTTAAAATATTTTATATTTTATTTATATTAATATGTTTATTTTTAATATGTTTTAAAATATCATTTTTATCTGTAAACATTTTTATAAATAAACAATTTTTATTTTTAAAGCTTCATTGTGTACCGTGCACTAAAATGGTATCAATGATCTGGTTAACTTATAATATTTATGAAAATGTATAATTGTTAAATTAACTTCTAGAATAATTATGAAATATCAATTTTTTGAATTAATAATTAATACATATAAGTTATATGATATAACACTTCAATTAATAAACAGTATATCAATATTTATAAATACATAACAGAGTATGTAAAACTTATAAACATAGCACTTAATTAATCTATGTCATTTTACATGGACAACACTAATTGTTAAAATTCAAAACAACCTTTATAACAACAATATTTGAAATGAAAATTAAAAATTCTTTCAAATGTTATATCACATACAACTAGCGTGACCATGGTCAAGTGTTACAAGTATTTCGACCTGGTCACACTACATATAACACACCATTAATTAATACACCAGTATATTAGATGCCGTATTAGAGTTATCGGCGAATATCTCCCTCAAGAGGTCAAAGGGTATGGACTGAGTGCCCATTCCTACAGTGAGTGTCCGTTTTTTCTGTGCCAATACCTCCAGATCTGTTAACGCGTTGATTAGTTTCAGGAATTTATTTTGCGAATCAAATTCCGTGCGATATCTCAATAGTAGATAGCGTTGCAGTAAATACATGTATACGTGTTGTTGCAGTCTATGGGTTAGGTATAAGTAGATTATGTATTAATATCTAATATTATAAGTTTCTGAATAAAATAACTAGTAACGTACTTGACCATGTGCTTGGCTATTAGGTTAGGCCGATTTGGGTTAAACAGTATGATCGCTGTTAACTGTAATAAATAGTTTGTAAGGTTGGTAACAAAAAATATATTTTAAAATAAATCTTATGTATTATATTACCAGGTCGAGAACCACAGGATCCATATCCCACTCGCCGCATATTTTATGATAAAATAATTTATATTGCTCATATACTCCTAGTGGTTTACTCCTATATGTTTCCAAAGGGAATTTAACTTTGTCTTTAGTACACTAATGAGACAAATAACACATTAAAACTTTAACATCCTTAATGATATACAATACATAAAATAATATTGTATTATTATTTATACATGCTAAACAAGTTTAGTATAAAAATATTAACTTAACAAAACTATGACATACCGTCTCAAAGCTCCAGCAGTCCTTATCGGTGTTATAATTGGGAACTATACTCATGTAATACAGTGCAAAGCACCCGTACTTTATAAGGGATATCCTATCATTTTCGCACAGACTATTGAATGCGGACAACCTTTTGGACATTTGTATCATTTTCATAGTCTGCTCGTTAATCTTGTAAAACATCACCCAATTATTTCGGACCTCCCAGGCCGTCACCGGCCATACCCTGATACTATCGGTAGCCGTCAATAGCTCCCGGAGTTTACTGCTCTCTAAGTCATTCAATTGGTTTCTATAGTCCATAAGCGGTCGATAAATAGGTGTGACGGACACCGACTGTCCCACAGGTTTGCGGACATTACTCATGAGGTCCAAGAAGTCTATGATCTCGGAGTCTGTGATGTCTTTGTGGTAATCATTGGTGTCATGAGTGGTGTGTTTGGTATGGGAGTTAAGGTCCGAGTCGTATGTGTCGCCCATTTGTCGGACAGTAGTGTTTGAGTCCGAAGTATAGCCCACACTGTCATCCGTTGGGCTATTACTGGAGTCCGACGCTGTGGTCGAGTATGTCGTGTAGACCTTGCTATTAGTCTTTGGAGTCAAGTCACGCTTTTGTCGATTAGTTTTGATTAAATTGTTTCGCTTTTCCTTCTCTTCCTACAGTGAGTGTCCGTTTTTTCTGTGCCAATACCTCCAGATCTGTTAACGCGTTGATTAGTTTCAGGAATTT